GAACACATCCCCAGCTCTGATAACCAAATCCTCCAGAAACTGATACATGTCCCCAGAGGTGGGAGAGTTTTGCCCCTGGTTGAACAAAAAAAATTACCTGACCTAAGCTATCAGAAGTGACAAGATTGAAAATCTGTATTGTAGCTGGCCTTCCTGCTGTTCCAGCCTGGCCTACTTCTCTAATCAGGCCATTCTGGGCCACAGCCCCATTCCCAGTCCCAGTGCCTATGGACTAAACACTCCTAGGCAAGTTGTCCATACCTTCCACAAACCCTGTCATTGCAGCCCACCATTCCTCTTTGGCACAATGATTCATCTCCCCCCCCCCCAAATATGTTCAATGGGTCAGCTGAGGCCCACTTCCCTGTGACACCAGCCTAAGCATTTCATCACACAGCTGAGAGCAGCTGCAAAGTTCAAAACTTGTTTACTGATAATTGGGAGATGACCTAAGAGTAATGAGTACAGCACTAGCCACCAAGTTTTATTGTCCAGAGCTTGTAGGCCCAGTTTTGTCCCAGAAGACACAGTGTCCTGGGTAAAAAAATTTGTCCAGATATGTGTCTGCCAGGATTAATCTGCCTCCATATATGGCACTGGTGCCTTCAAGGACCCCTTCTTCCCAAAGACCCTCATCCAGGAAGCATCCTGAAGACCCAAGTCAATAACGATACCAGCTCTCAGTGTGTGATATCTGCCTGGAATCTCAGCACTAGAGAGGTAGAAGCAGGAGGATTGTGAATTCCAGGTCAGCCTGGGCTATGTAGTGAGACCCTGTCTCAGAAACAAAAGGGAGCACGCTCCTGTACAGGTACAGGTGGCTCACTCCCATAATCCTAGCTACTCAGGACTCTGAGATCTGAAGATCAAGTTCAAAGCTAGCCTAGGCGGGAAAGTCCATCAGAGTCTTAGCTCCAAGTAACCACCAAAAAGTCAGAAGAGGAGATGTGGCTCAAGTGTAGAAGCACTAGCCTTAAGTACAAAAGCTCAGGGACAGTGCCTAGGACCTGAATTGAAGCCCCAGGATTGTGGGTTTTTTTTTGTTGTTGTTGTTTTGTTTTGTTTTTTTAAAGAATACAAGAAAGAAAGAAGGAAAGGAGAAAGGGAAGAAAAAGAAAGGAAAAGGGGGAGAAAAGTGATCGGGAAGAGACCTACTGCTCATCCAGCCCAGTTTATAGCTGACACCAGTTCTTCCTTAGCTAATTGACATGGTCTGACTCCCTCCAGGCTAAACTAATCCTTTGACCCAGTAGGCATAAGTGTTCTTCTGCAGGCCCTGCCAGATAACAGTGTCACAAAACAGCATAACCACAGCATGTGTGCATGCGTACACACACACACACACACGCGCACACACACACAGAGTTGGGCAAGAAGAAGAGTGTAGAAGAAGCTCTGGGTTCAATTCCTCAGTATTACATAAATAGAAAAAGACAGAAGTGGCACTGTGGCTCAAGTGGTAGCTAGCCTTGAGCACAGAAAGGCTCAAGGATAGTGCCCATTCCCTGAGTTCAAGCTCTAGGACCAACCAAAAAAAAAAAAAGAGTCTCAAGTACTTTCCTGCCCAGGCTGACTTTGAACTGCCATCCTCAGATCTCAGCCTCTGGAGGCATGACCCACCAGTACCTAGCCTATCTGTGGTTTTCTATATAACTTATTGTTGAGACTGAGGTCTCAGTAACTGACCTGACACCTTGATGCCTTCTGAGTAGCTGAGATTATAGGTACGAGGTTGATATTATGCCCAACTGGACTTATTAATTCTTTTATATGATGCTAAGTTTGAACTCAGAACCTGTGCTTGTTTGGCAGATGCCATGTTGCTTGAGCTCTGCCCCTGTCCGAAATTTTTTTTTTTTTGTCGGTCATAGGGCTTGAACTCTAGGCCTGGGCGCTGTCCCTCAGCTCTTCAGCTCAAGGCCAGCGCTCTACCACTTGAGCTACAGCGCCACTTCCGGTTTTCTGGTGGTTTATTGGAGATAGGAGTCTCACGGTCTCTCCTGCACGGGCTGGCTTTGAAGCGCGATCCTCAGATCTCAGCCTCCTGAGTAGCTAGGATTACAGGCGTGAGCCACCAGCGCCCGGCTTGTCCTAAATTTTTGATACATAACAAAATTGGAAAGTATTTGACCTTTGTCCTGTGATTCTCTTCTAACATTCCACAAAAAGAAGGGTTTCAGCTCTCTAGTCTGCAAAAACAAAGAAAACCACTGAAGTTGCAGAAAGCTGGGGCCATGAAGAGTTGCTGTGTCCTCCCAGGAAGTGAAACTGCCCTTTCTCCTGTCCCAGCCTGGAGCCAGTGCCCATAAATAAATGAACATGCCAGTCAATACATATGCTGCCACTTTGCCGGGTTTGCTCTTTGAGGCCAGAAGTATCTTCTCTTGTGTGAAAGAGCTTGGAGATGACCCTTTCTGTTTTTGTATTTTTCCACCAGGTCCAAGGTTGGCATCGAAAAGCTACCTCCTGTGGCTTTTTGTTGGTCCCCGTTTTAGAAGGTCCTTTCGCGCTGCCCAGTTACCTGTATGGCGATCCCCTTCGAGCCCAGCTCTTCATCCCACTCAACATCAGCTGCCTGCTCAAGGAAGGCAGCGAGCATCTGTTTGACAGTAAGACACACACACACCCCCTTGGAGGTCTTGCTCCAAGGAGACTGCTGTGGGAAGTCTGAATCAGCACAGTGTCATGAAAAGACAAGTTATTCCACTAGGGCCAAAGGGTTCTGGGTTTTTATCCTGGTTCTTCAGTTGGTGGCTGGGTCAACCTGGAAAAATCACCTAGCATCTCTGAATGTTGAATTCCATATTCCTGAAATAGAATTGGCTAGCGGTGCCTTAAACAGCTCAGGAAGGGCATGGTGAGGCCCGAAGTCGGGCTGTGGGTGGGAAAGGGCATTGTGCACTGTAAATCTCTTGACAGCATTACTGCCCGCCCACACCCTCCTTCCCAGTGCTTTAGGCTAACTGGTTTGGGCTACAGGAATTTGAACCTCATAGGAGGCCCCTGTGCTGTTCTATACCCAAAAACCCAAAAAGGGATCATTGGAAGCTAAACAAGAAGTAGGGTCCCATTGTGCAAGGCTGGCACTGTGGCAGTCCCCACGAGCCGGCATGTATCTCAAGTCCTGCATCTGCAGGAAGACAAAGCAGAGCCAGAAGACTCAGATGACGACAGCAGAACCCAGATGAGGGCCCATCCTGGCCTGTCCCTCGGTGCCAGTGTAGCAGGTTTAGTAGATGAGCTCTAGGCTGTGCAACACACAGCTGTTTGTCACTAAGTGTCTTTGCAGGTGAACATATAAATAGCTCCTATAAAGGCTTTCAGTGAGCTCACAGATGATGCTTTTGAATATGAAAACCTAGATTCCATGCCAATATGTCTGGAGCCCCAGATACAAAGATTATAAAATATGAAAGAAAGAACTGTTGATGGAAAGAAAATGTTTCTTCTGTGAGTCTGTCACATGGTCAGTGGTAGAGAACCAGCCCAGAGGGAGAGGGTGGAAAGGCTCAACAGGTAGGGCAGGCCAAGCTCAGCATGACTGCGCCTTGTGTGTGACCCGCTGCTCTTAGGGCACAAGCAGCTTTTCTTCCAAAGGCCTGTCAGTGTATTCTTTGTTATAATTTAGAAGACTTACTTTTTTTTTTGGTATAGACACAATGTTCTTAGAGATGGTTGGAGTTCTAGCCAAAGCCCACAGTCCTTCTACACTGGAGGCCACAGATTCTCGGGGATACATAGTACTTAAAAAGTCCCCATACATTGTGATGTCACTTCACCATGTGACAGAGAGGACTGTTGATGCAGTCTTGAAATGCTAGATGATTTAAAGCCAGACGATTGTAAGCCAGGCAGTTTTCCTAAAGTGTTGTAGATGTATTAAGGGGGCAGGGCAATGGTCCTTCATACTGTCTAGAGACATTGGTTCCCTGCCCTCACTGTACCAGGACAGGATTGTCTACAGAGCTGGCATTACAGGATATGTTTGTGCTAGTTGATGGTTTTCCCTGCCAGTGGTAACCCAGTTGTCAAGACCAATCCTCGGTTGGTTGCTATGGTTACAAGCCAGCGATAAGATTCATAGTTCAAAGAATTCATATCTAAAGAATCGATTTTCTTGATTCTGTGCCTCTTCTTTTCCTGTGATCTCCCCTCCCCTTTCCTGTAACAGTGAATTCAGACTCAGGAGAATCTTAACAAGCATGTGTGGGGTGGTGTGTGTGTGTGTGTGTGTGTGTGTGTGTGTGTGTGTGGTTGTTGTTAAAATCAAAATTTTTTTCTTTGTTTGCTTTTAACTGTTAGTTCAGAATCTTCCAGTCTATCTTCAAAAATTCTAAATATTGAAAGAATAGTAAAGCCACTGCAGGCATTCATAGTCTTTGGGATAGCTGTATCTATATCTGTGTCTATGCAATTGCAGACCCAGCTCCCGATGCCTGTAGCTGAGTGACAGCCTCTCAGCAGCAGCACCTCTGCAGCAGGAGCAGGGTCAGAATGATGTAGTGGGTAATGAGGGAGGGGACCCATCCACTCTGTCCCCCTCCCCTGCCTTTTTGGTTCTATTGCTCTACCACTGGAGCGACAGCTCCACTTCTGGTTTTCCAGTGGTTAATTGGACTCTTCTGCCTGGTGGCTTTGATCCTCTGGTCTCAACCTCCTGAGTAGCTAGGATTACAGGCATGAGCCACCAACACCTAGCTGGCTTTCTTAATGGGAATTGGAAGATCACTGATACAAAAATGTGAGGGTGGGGGACATGTTTTTTAAAAGCAGCTAACATGCATTTATCTTCTATCTGTAGTTCAATACAGTCCTCATTAAAATGTGTCTTGGAGTTCTTGTAGCCATCTCCTGGTGGCTCCTATCTCCTGATGTCTCAGCACTCTCTAGACGCTCTTACAGCTCAGGGGAAGAGCTGGCAGAAACACAGTTGTCCTTTCTTTAACCTCCAAGTAAAGGTAGAGAACTGGTGCATAGGATGTCAAGGATTGCCAAGAACTCCTGATGCAGGGAGGGTTACCTGCTCCAGGATCACAACTCAGCTTCTGTTCCTTTTCTCCTTTCAGGCTTTGAACCAGAAACATATTGGGATCGCATGCACCTCTTCCAGGAAGCCATTGCCCACAGGTCTGTTCCTTACCATGAGGGACCTTTGGGAGGGCAGCCACATTCATCCCCAGAAGCAGTTGTCAGTGTAAAGCCCAGCTCGTTTGGCTCTTGAGAAGAGGGATCCTACCCCGCCAGTGACAAATTCATTGCCTGTGGACACCAGAACTCTGCTTTTGTTTCAGAGATAAACACTACCCTGCCACATTTTTTTTTTGCTAGTCCTGGGACTTGAACTCAGGGCCTGGGCACTATCCCTGATCTTCTTTTGCTCAAGGCTAGCACTCTACCACTTGAGCCACAGCAATACTCCCAGCTTTTTCTGTTTATGTGGTACTGAGGATTCAAACCCAGGACTTCATGCATGCTAGGCAAGCACTCTACCACTTAGCCCCGTCCCAGCCCATACCCTGCCACTTGTTGTAGCCTTGTTTTTCAAAACACCTTGCCTTCCTCCAGTTGGAGAGAGCTTAGCATACCCTCCTCAGCGCCCAGCAAGAGTCTAAGCCAAGCTACCTAGGAGTTAAGCTATAAAAAAAGAAAAAACAACAACATAAACTTTGTCAAGAAACCCTAAGCAAATCCAAAAATGAACAAAAAGCAGTAGATCAATGAACACATATTTCTTAGGGTGTAATACATGAGCCGGGGAGAAAGCCTTTTCTAGTCTTAGACCCAGCGAGCAGAAGGCAGCACACTACGCCATCTCCAGGCATCACTAGTCAGTGGCTGATTGCTATTTCACATTACTCATGGGGGAAGCCAAGCCTCCTGTTCTTGCTTCCATGGCCCTGTCACTACACCTTACAGTGTCAGGTCCTCTCCTTATCCAGGCATCTTCCACCGTTACCACCCCACCTCCACCCTCACCCCCTGGCACTCACAGCTACAGGATAAGGCTCCTTCTCTAACCCTTCCTGCCCAACTTGTCTCTGGCCTTCCTGAGACCTCATTAAGGTCTAGACTTTACTCAGGTGCCCAGTTACAGCTCTGGGATGAATGCATGGACCACCGATTTCCTCTTTTCAGTAAGGAAGGATGCAGATTTGGGGCTAAGTGGAGAGATCAGAGTAGTGAGTGAAAAAGGGTCTTTTTTTGTGGTCGAGACTGGGATTCGAACTTGGTACTTGATGTTTTAGCTCACTGGCCTAGAGCTCTATCAGTGGAGCACCCCTCCAAACCCAAGGGAAAAAAAGGGTCTTGATGTGGGAAGCAGACAGACCTGGTCCACAAACTACCCCTCCTCCCCCGCAGCATCTGAGAAGCTAGGAAAGTTCTGTGGCAAGTCCAGGCACCACAAACCTTCATTTTTCTTGCCTCCCATAGTGTTGTAGGGCGCATGTGGTAAGTCTAGGAAGCCCCCTCCTTGCTTCTGGGCAAGTTAGAAGCAGCTCTCACTCTGCCTGTCTTGTACTTCCTTGAAAAGCCATTGACTTGCATGACTGGCCTCAACCTGGGACTTGACCTTTATTTACCAAATCTGCATTTTTTTTTTTTTCTCTTCAGTCTCTCCTCCTCCTGCTCTCCTGCAGCACTGATCCTGGTCATGTTTTTTCTCTCAGCGCTGCCCTTTCCTCTGGAGCCTGCTTTTCCAACCTCTGATTTCCTCATGTGTCTTTCACCCAGTCCCCCTGTGTCACCACACCAAACTCTGCTGTGTGTCACCTTCTCCCTTGTAATCTTAGCCCCTCTCCCACAGGGGTTCCCCCTTGGAATTCCTATCTGTTCTCCACACACCCTCAATCTGTGGCACTGCTTCACCAGTGCCTGGAGGGCAAAAGTTTACATTTTTGTCACTTTGTTCCCTTCTGCAATGACTCTCAAAGTGTTTTGCCTAGGGTAATTGTTTTTCTTATAGCATTTGCCTGGAGTGGAGCTCTCAATGGTAATGTAGCTCTGAAATGACACATTAGCCCACCTTCAGGTTCATCTCTCAGGATCCCCTATGCTGGAACTCAGTGCCTCCTAAGACTTCATCTGAATGGTTGGGGTGAGACTAATGCATCCCCTTCCCCAGGATAGGAGCCCTGTGTCTTCATTAGAGGTCCTGCCTTGCAAGTGGACATTGAGGCAGCCACAGACTGTGGCTAAATTATGTTTAAAAAAAAAATAATAGTGAGGGCTGGGAAGGTGGCTCAGTGGTAGAGCGCTTGCCTTGCATGCCTGAGGCCCTGGGTTCGATTCCTCAGCACCACATAAGCAAAAAAGAAAAAAGCCGGAAGTGGCGCTGTGGCTCAAGTGGTGGAGCGCTAGCCTTGAGCTGAAGAGCTGAGGACAGCGCCCAGGCCCAGAGTTCAGGCCCCACGACTGGACCCAAAAAAAAAAAAAAAAAGAACACAGCAGAAGCCAAGCACTGGTGGCTCACACTTGTAATTCCAGCTACTCAGGAGGCTGAGATTTGAAGATTCTGGTTTGGAGCCAGTCTGAGCAGAAAAGTTCATGAGAGACTCTTTTCCCCAATTAAACACAAACCTTGGGAAAAAAAAAAAAGGCCAATAGCTCAGGCCTGTGATGCTAGCTTCTCAGGAGGCTGAGATCTGAGGATTGTGATTTGAAGCCAGCCTGGGCCAACAAATGCAACAGTTAACCATCAGTGCTACATTGGGGATGTGGTTCAAGTGGAGCACCAGCTGTGGTCAAAACAGCAGAGTGAGAATGTGGGATCTTGAATTCAAGCCCCAGTTACCAGCAGCCCTCCCTCCCCCCCCCCACACACACACAGGGGCCTAAGGACGAAATGAGGCAAAAATCCTCCAGACAGGCCTCCCCATGCTGAGTAAATCCATGCAAAGTAGGCTTGGTTGGAAAGTAGGGAGGGAACAGATACAGAGTCCATGATGGCAGCCTGCAGATAAGTGAGCATGCAGAGCACATGAGCCTTTCCATTCCGTTCGAGTATTTGATTTCATAAGCAGTTACAGAACCAAGTGTGGAGGTCCTCCCTGAGGACCCAGGAACGGGGTGGGGGGGGGACAAGCATTTGACCCCTCCAGCTCTGCCTGTACCACTGCCTTCATTACATAAGCCCCTCAGACTAAAGGGCAGGAGCCGCATCTGCCAGCCTAGCCTTTTCAGCTCTTAGAAGGTAGGGCTGTAATAAATGTGCTTTATGAAAATAGAAAGACCAGGAATAGCACGAGCCACAGACGAGAAGTGGAGCAGAACAAGTCATAGGTGAGAAATGGTTCCTGCTGCCCACTTCCAGAAGGCAGCAGACAGAGGCTCCAGTGCTGCTCCTCAAGAGATTTCAGGGCCTTTATTGAGACCTTGTATTTCTAACATGAGAACAGAGGGGGCAAGGGCTGGGGTGTGGCTAAGGGGTGTTCATCTAAGGAAGGGGTGCATCCTTTCCAGGCAGGTCATGGGTAGTTTCCAGTAGGAAGCAGGGTGATGGCTGGGGGGTGGGCTGAGGGCAGAGAAGCTGCAGAAGGGAGGCTAGGCAGGAATGAAGGCGGGTGAAGCGCACTACTGGGAGGAGCAGGGATGCTGAGAAGTGGTGAGGCTGGGAATAAGCAGGTCGCATGGTCCATCTGGAGTGAGATCTTGCCAGATCTCTTTATGGAGTCATCTTAGCCACTCCCTCTCCTCTTGTCCTGTTGCCTTTGGAGGCCCTGACCTGTGTGTCTTCCCATCCTGCCCTTAGGTTTGGGTTTGTACAAGATAAATATTCTGCCTCTGCTTTTAACTTCCCTGCTGAAAACAAGCCTCAGTACATCCACGTGACAGGTAAGGAGCTGGGGGCAAGACCAGGTGGGCATTTAGGTCCCTTTGGCAGATGCTTGAGCACCCCACCCCTCACCCCTCACTCCGGGCTTAGGGATTGGACTCATTCTTGCAGGCCCTTTCTCCTGCACCACACCTAGTGGTCAGGCCTGGCCAGCCACTCGGGTGGCAGCCACAGGCCCTGCCCTTCTCCCCCCAGGCACAGTGTTCCTGCAGCTACCCTACTCCAAGCGCAAGTTCTCGGGGCAGCAGCGCCGCCGGCGAAACTCCACCAGCTCCACCAACCAGAACATGTTCTGTGAGGAGAGGGTGGGCTACAACTGGGCCTATAATACCATGCTGACCAAGACGTGGCGCTCCAGCGCCACCGGGGACGAGAAGTTTGCCGATCGGCTGCTGAAAGACTTCACGGACTTCTGCATCAACCGGGACAACCGGCTGGTCCTGTTCTGGACGAGTTGTCTGGAGAAGATGCACGCTAGCGCCCCATGAAGCCAGGTTGCCCCAGACTCAGGAAGCCACGTGTGTGCGTGTGCGTGCGTGCGTGCGTGCATGTGTATGTGTGTGCCAATACCCGTGCCTGTGCCTGGGTGGGGAGGGGGGAGCGAGGATTCCTGTCAGGTTCTCAGTGTCCAGGAGTGGAGCCTGTTGCTTTCTTTTTGGTCCTCACACAAGGGTTTTTCTCAAGGAGAAAGACTTAAGCAACTGGCACCATGACTGCCACCCAGATCCCTGCCAGCAAGTGCTCAGCACAAGTGGGAGGTGCAGATCGTTCGTGGGAGGGCTTCAGCGTCTGGGAAAGAGGGCAAGCAGCCCCCGTGAATGTCCCTGGAGAAAGGCTGGTTCCCATTAGCATTCTTTTCCTCCAACACCCATGGAAAACTAGGACCAGAATCTGTTGCTTCCTACCTAGGAGTTTGCACCGTGTGTGTAAGATAATCCTGTGAAATAATGTGCCATACTCTCACGCCCGTTGTATATATCTGTACAAAGCCAGAAGAAAATAAAGTGAATCCCATCCCAGCTTGTTTACCAAGGTCACTGTGGAGGACTCCAGGTCTCCTGGACACCCTAGCCTGAACCATGTGTCCTGAGTTGCCTATGAGATTGTTAGGCCACACCCTGACACATACCTGCACTAGGAATTAGATGGTGACTCTGGAACTTAGCCCCTGGTCCCTGTGCTACCCCCATCACCACTGCTACACCTTCTGGTGATGTCAGGTCATTGACACACCCACACAAGACTGTAGAGTACTCTCTCTCCCTCTCAACCAGTGGGAAGGCCAAGTGCAGAGTTAATTTCTGGGCCTTTCTGTCCTCAGGGTAGTTTGTGATGCTTGCAGCTGGAACTATCTTTTCCCAACAATGTGTGCTCTTTGAACTGTATCAGAATGCTTATGCAGCCTTTGATCCCTGCCTCTAACACTCTCCTAATGTCTCTAAGGAGACACAATTTTTAAAATGTACTTATGTCTTTGTATACCTGTATTGGAGCTTGAACTCAGAGCCTAGGCTCTGTCCCTTAGCTTTTTCCAAGGCTGGCATCCTATCACTTGAGCCACACCTACATTTCGGGCTTTTTTTTTTGCTGATCAGTTTGCTTGGAACCACGATCTTCAGATTTCAGCTTCCCGAGGAGCTGGGATTGCAGGCATGTGCCACCAATGCCTGGTTTCAGAATTTTACTTATTTATTTATTTATTTATTTTTTGTCAGTTGTGGGGCTTGAATTCTGGGCCTGGGCACTGTCCCTCAGCTCTTCAGCTCAAGGATAGCACTCTACCACTTGAGCCATAGCACCATTTCTGGTTTTCTGGTGGTTTATTGGAAATAAGAATTTCATGAACTTTCCTGCCTGGCTGGCCTTGAACCTCGATTTTTAGGTCTCAGCCTCCTGAGTAGCTAGGATGACAGGCGTGAGCCACTGGCACCCAGCCAGAATTTTATTTTTAAACTCATGCCATTCTAAAAAAAAAAAAATCTTCCTTAGTGCTTTTGATATTGGTCTAACCCTAGTAGCTCCTACTCTGGGTCTTTCTCAAGGCCAAATGTCCTGACCCTCCCCCAAGCTATGTGTCCTTAGAATCCAGGTAAGGCCAGATGGTGGCCACAGCTCTGCCTGAGGCAAGCCCTGGAGACATTTGCCCCTATGGCTATCTCTCGATTCATGACATTTGTACCCTTATGGTCCCAGCTACTCAGGAGTTTGAGGTAAGAGGATCAGTTGAACTTAGAAGAGTTTAAGGCCAGTAGCCTGGGCAACATAACAAGACTTGTTTCTTCTAAAAACAAAACTACCCTGACTCCTTTCCAAGTCCCTGGGGTACAGAGATCCAGAGGCTGCTAGCCCAGGGTTCACAACTCAGTGTGGCTTTGCCTACCAGAGGACATTTGGTAATGTCTATAGACACTTTGGGTTGTCACAACTACAGGGGTGCACTACACTATGGGTCTTGGATGGGTAAGTCTTAACACCCTTCTGTGCACACTCAGGACATTTGGCCTCACGTTTCAAATATCAGGTTGAAACACCAAAAACAAAACTAAGCCAAAGAAAGATGCAAGGAGATTACCCCTCTTGACTCTCCTATTCCTGTCCCCAACACTGGCCACTGTGGGGTTGGCATCTAGGGCCAGAGCTCTCGTGGGTGATCTGACACACTGGATGTATCCTGCCTCAAAGCAGAAGTGAAAGCAGAAGAGTCTCCTAGCCAGACAGGAGGTGAGTCTGGACACCCCCAATGTGTCTGTCTTAGGCCAGAACCAGGGCAGTGGCTGCCTGCACTGGGGGCCGGCCTGGCACAGGGACCGGAGCCCCGCTTCAGAAGAGAAAGCTCACTAAAAGGGTAGCTCTGTCTGTCTCTGTCTGTCTGTCTGTCTGTCTCTGTCTGTCTGTCTGTCTCTGGCTGTCTGTCTCTGTCTGTCTCTGTCTGTCTGTCTCTGTCTGTCTGTCTGTCTCTGTCTGTCTGTCTGTCTGTCTGTCTCTGTCTGTCTGTCTGTCTCTGTCTGTCTGTCTGTCTGTCTTGGAGCTTGAACTCAGGCCCTAGGTGCTATCCTGCTCTATTTTGCTCAAGTCTAGTGCTCTACCACTTGAGCCAAAAGTTCTCAGTCAGATACCTGGGTAGCTCTGTCTGTCTGTCTGTCTGTCTGTCTTGGAGCTTGAACTCAGGCCCTAGGTGCTATCCTGCTCTATTTTGCTCAAGTCTAGTGCTCTACCACTTAGAGCCAAAGCTCTATTTCCAGCTTTTTGGTGGTTCATTAGAGATAAGTCTCATGGACTTTCCTGCCCAGGCTGGCTTTGAACTGTAATCCTTAGATATCAGCCTCCTGAGTAGCTAGGCTTACAGGTGTGAGCCGCTAGTGCCTTGCTCTGGGTAGCATTTGAGTAGAGCTGGGCAGAGAATTTTGCTCAATGCCTTGTTTGGGTCTAGCAACAATCTTTCACAGTGAGTATTTGTGGGGTGGGGAGGGTACTGGACTTGCTAAGGAGGCATTCTACCTTTGAGCCATGTGCCCAGTCCTTTTTGGTTTTATTATTTTTCAGATATAGTCTTATGTGTTTGTCTAGGCGGGCTTCTGATCTCCATCTTCCTACCTAGACTTTTTACATAGCTGGATTACAGGCATGCATCCCTATGTCCATCCTGTTTTGAATGATTTTTTTTTTT